TACGTATATATATATATATATCGCATATATAAATATATATATATATGCATACACACACACACACAGAGCTGTGCATACATCGATGCGCAGGTGTGTACATACCTGCATTTGCCCAGCCTGCCCGGCACGGCAGAGTTCCGGAGTTCAGGATTGAGGGGTTTTTGCTTTTTTTAGGGGTCCCGGCAGGCCACTCCTTCTCAGCGGTATGGCTCGAGCGCTGCCGGGTTGCGGCTCAGCGGAGGGCAACGACACAAGGGGCAGCGCCATGGCCTCAGAGCCCTATTATCGTGGTGCCCTGCAGTATTTTTGAGGGCAGCCTTTCAAGGAGGCCTGGCAATCAAGGGCTCTCTCTCTCTCTCTCCTTCTCTCTCTTTTGGGTCGTTGTGCTTGCGCGGTCCATGAGGCTTCTGTGGTAGTTGAGATGTTTCCCCAGCCTATCATCGCACGACTTCATGCCTCTGTGCGTCAAACTGATCATTCTCCCATCTATCCACCTGTGCTTCCAGCACCCTGGGAAGCGTTCCAGCATGTCCTAAACTAGTAATCCTAGTAAACCACAGGCGCCGTCCAAGTTTAGGGCTCATCGACATAGCTGTTTTGCACTTAGGAATCAGGTAACTGCAATGACACTGCGCATGGCTGGCTGGCAGCCGGATGGTTTCAACATCCTCAACTCTCAAATGCTCGCGCTAGAGACAGGGACGGAGGGAGGGAGCGAGAGAGGGAGAGAGATCAGAGAGCCTGGTGCTGCTGAGGTCATCCCGGTTGCACAGCTCTGTCTCGGAAGAGGCAGCTTCGCATGCTATTGTGGAACTTCAAAGCAGGATGCTCCGACTGCAACCGCAGCAACTTGTTCGCGCCTTGGTTACTCTACAAACTTATATATCTGCCCAAGCCCAAGCCCTGAACCTTGGACCCTATGTCATAAGAAGTTCTATTCTGAGTTCTTGAGCGGCCCTTACAGCAGCCATGTACCCTGGCTTCTTCTTCATCATTTTGCGGAGAGTTCTTGCTCGCAATTTGCGACGAAGGGGTTTTGGGTGAATGAACATGCACTTCTCGCGGAGTCTGAACCCTTCAGCCCTGCAAGCTCCAAATCTCTAAATCCCATACCTGAAGCCACTGCAGCCATGAGCTATAAGCTCCGAATGCTCTTTGCTTAAACCCTGTTCACCTTCAAATCCTGCCGCCCTACCTTCATTTCTGCACCCCAAGTTAAAGAAGCCCCAAACCCTAAACCCCTAAACCCTAATGCCTAAACACCCAAACCCCTAAACCCCTAAACCAGCCTAGACCCCTAAACCCCTAAACCCTAAACCCCTGAACTGTTGGGCCCAGAATACGCGGTCAGGTGCGACGGTGTCTCCGGTCTGAGCCTGTTGTGGCCCCGGCCCTGGCCCGGTGTTGAAGAGGGGCCTTTCGAGGCAGCTCGTAGGGGCTTTCTCTTGGGGTGCGTGAAATTTTCAATAGATATAAATTATGAACTATTATGATTATTATTGTTATTATTATTGTTATTTTCTATAAATAGATATTATTCGATATCTTACATTATTTATTGGGCTTCTAGACCTTTCAGGGTTGTTCCAAAGGCGGCCTGTGCAAGGCACCTCGCGGGTTTCGACTAGTTCCCTTCAAGCTGCCCAGTTGCCGGGCTTTATAGGGTTTAGGGTTTAGGGGTTTAGGGTTTGTTATCAAAGAGTCATGAGTTTTGGCAAAGACTGCAATGCTCCTCGTCTTGATATGTTCTCATATTCTGATACTTGTAGCGTTCGTGCTAGCCTGACTAGGCAAATCAGATTAGGAAATACTGGTATCGATCATGATAGCGGATATCCCTGCCGACCATCATTCACAAGGCTGCTTCGCTTGGCACAATTCTGCAAAATGTGGCGCATGCCGTTGGTTCTGCAAGCACGGTGGCTATAATATTATTTACGCGGGTGAGACGCACGACTAGAACTGGAAAGGCTGTGGTCGACGACAGCATCTGCTGGAAGAGCAGTGCTGACGCATTCTCTGCACGGTGGTACTTAATGTCATCCCCAATGCGATAAGAGTCTCCTGTCAACAAATGCGGGGGACGACAATGGTGGCGGACAGCTCTATAAGCTTACTCCATTGTGGTATCCAACTTTCAGGCTAACACAGTACAGCTGTTCAAGGTCTGAAGTCCTCTAGGCCACGCGGCTAGAGCTCTTCCAGGCACCCTTGATCATGACCAGGATCACGGCCAGGGTCATGGTATCAGCATCGAGTCTGTTTTTGGTTTAAAAAACAGCATCATGAGCATTCTCATTCTCATCTCCAGCGCTCCGCTGCTCCCAGGATGAGTTAGTCGTCGAGCAGTGTCTGGCCGTGGACATCGCCCTTCCCAGCCGGCGACTAGCCGTGGAGGCCGGTGTCGAGCCCCTGAAGAACTCCTGGCTTCCGAATTTCCAGTAACTTCAGAAACCGATCAGCAGAATTCAGGTTGAGCCTTCAATGACAATTGCTCGGAGTCACAGCTCAGATGACAGGTTTCAGCCCAGGTCTTTGTACGGCGGTCATCAAGTCCAAGACTCTGGTAATCCTGAACCCTCACCGAAGTCTGCTAGAAACCTCCAGCTTCCAAATTTCAGGCTCCAGGCTCGGCCTGTAGGCTGCCCTGCGTGCCAGGGCTCCCGTCACGATCCCGAATCCTGAGAGGTGGATGGACCTGTGCATTTTGCCCGGGACGTGCAGAGCCACTCGGAGCCATGCGACCCCGAAGCTTCAGGAGATTTCTCCATGTGCTGAGGGGTTGAAGTCGCGAGCAAAAGCCGACAGCCTCAATCTCAAGGTCTTCTGAACTAGGCAGGGACCAGGCCGGAGATAGGTAGTGAGCATTGAAATCATAGTGCCTACAGAACATCAACGAAGCCATCAGCCTTTCTCTCAAGGCGAGGCGCTCTCGCTCTTGGGGCCCTCCTGGCTGAAGCGGCGACTGCTGACACGTCTGGGGTGGCAGGTGCTCTGGAGGGGCGAGAGGAGTGCAGTGTTGGACGTAGCTGTACAGGCGTTGTGCTTGATGGGTTTGTCTACAAGTCTACAATCCTTTCCTTCGGCACATAGCGCTTGAAGGCAGCGCTGCAGGATATCATTTTCAGGACAGTTTGAGTTCGGCTTCTATAGCAGCGTACCCTGGAGTGCAAGCTTCGCATGGTGGAATAGCATCTTGATCTCCACCCCATGCAGGACTTCACAGACAGGCCCCATGGCTTAAGCCCTTGAGCCCCAGAGCCCCCCCAGCCTAACTCAAAACTCCAGTTGCTTGGTGAGAAGAAGCCCGAAACCCCGGAAGCCTCAGGTGGTTTCTGTGGAGTGGCGCGACTGGGATCGCTTGGACCGGGCTGCGCGGCGAAGCTTCCTGGTCCCTCGGCTCCAAACTGCAGGGCTCAGAACCCCCAGAAGCCCAAAGCTTCGACCGAGCTGGGAGCGGCCTTGGTTGAAAGTCGTGAAGCCATGGAGCGACATAGCGAGGAAGAGACAGAGAGGGAGAGAGAGAGACGGTGCTTGGGGCCTTTGCATTTCAGGTACTTCAGATCCCAGTAGGACTTAGCCGTTTCAGCTGCTGGAACTGTTGTTTGGAATAGCCACCATCGGACTGATACAGGATTGCAAGGCAGCTTTTCGGCTTTCGCTTCGAGAGCTCAGGAGGATTCTGCAGGATTTCGTTGGTGTTCAAAGCTGCACTTGCCAAAGCTGGTATCAATCAAGAGTGATCAGTGTTCCAGGGTCCCGTGGGGTTCCCTGCCGTGAGCACCCCTCATATCTCCGGAATCCACGGCTCGAGGTTTACAGCGTTTTGTCATATGGTTGGGTTCCGACACCCCGACTCCATAGGATTCAAGAAGAAAGAAGACCCGACCTGTTCCGCCATTCGAGGAGAACCTGCTCCGTCCAGGCCATTCCCTTTTCCACTCGCATCCTTTTTTACTGGTTTAGTTTTTTTTGGGCTTTTGCGATCCATGGTGGTGATTCTTTCGTTTATTTGGTGTATGTCGTTGGATCATCGGGAGTCTTCATTCCCGAGCCAAGCCAGCTCAGTGATCGTTGCCTGTGCCCTTACTGCGATCGCAGAATCAGACGATGCGGCTCTTTATTGGCCTTGTCCGCTTATGTTGAGCTTCATATCCTCTGAGCCCAAAGCCCTCCGATTCCAGAAAGTCCCGAATCCGAAAGCCAAAACTCCAAACCGCCCTGGCCCGCAGGCGGTTCCGCCTCCAGGAGGCCCGACGCTCCCAGAGAAAAAGAGAAGAGCTGGTGGCGCAGGGAGTCCTAGGCAGAATCCACGATGCTTCCGTGAAGATTGGTTTAATGCAGAATTATTGAGACCATGACCATGTGCTTCCAAGGCTCCAGGCTCCGGGGTGTAGGTGCACTTAGGTAGGAGACGGTGTCTTCAGCAGTCTCCGGATGTCTTGTGTTCTGCAGCCTATAGTGGTAAGTCGACGATGGAGCCCGCATCCAGTCATAGCATGCATGTGAAGTTGATGCAGATTGGGTGGGCTGGCGACCTTGCTTGCTGCTGACATGTCCTCCTCTTCGCGCGGACGGGAAGTCATCATCTCCATCATCACGGCCACGATCGAAGTTTCGGCTCGAAGTCAGAGCTTCTCACAAGCATGGTAAAGCGGAACCAGGTAATTCAAGACCTTTCGGCTGCATGCATGGCCTGCACGTTTAGAGGCGTCAGGTCCTACTTAAAGACCAAGGGGTCTTCGTGCGCTTTGAAAGGTGCGTTTCACAGGGCTTCTAGCCTCAAGGGTTCGTAGTTGGGGAGCAGGGGTTCTGTGAAGATCCGAAGAGGCATCACCGTCCAAACCGATGATTTTAAGTCCTTGTTTTGCAGGTACATGTGTACGCTTCGCACAGGGACTTGAGTCCTCCGTACTTGTTTCCTCTCCACCCAGGGCACAGCCGTTTTCCACGAACCCTCCCGGGAGAGTTGAGACGCGAGATGGACGAGAAGTACCAGCGCATTAAGGCCCGGCCAAGGGCAAGAGCTGAAGATTGGCTCCAGACTTGTAGGAGCAACGCCGATGACCGCCGTGATTCTGTTCAGTGCTAGGGCAGTTCTCCCGAAGGCCGCTTGAATCAAATCTGCGGCGCTTAGCTATTCAGACTTTCGAACTGGGCCTAAGCATGGAATGCGCATCTGGCTGGCTATCTCCCTCCCTAGTTTGCTGTTTGTGTACCTATCTATCCTGTATCTATCCACTTCGTGACATGGCTACTCAGCAATCTGTTTCATTATCTGCCTATCTTGTACACACATATTTCATAAGTATCTACATGCATGCGGCATGCGTGTATACATGTATGTATTTGATGGGGGGCTCACTTGCTGCATGTACGCATGCCTCTGTGTGGACATGCATACATTCATGTATGTATATATGTATGTATGTATGTACGTACGTGCGTACGTATGTATGTATGTATGCATGCATGTACGGCATGTATGCCATGTACGTTATGTATGTCATGTATGTCATGTCATGTCATGTCATGTCATGTCATGTCATGTCATGTCACGTATGTACGTATTTATATATGTACCCACTTTTGTTCGAATGTTTGTAGTGTATGTGTCGTATTCCCCGTGTACCGTGTACTACTATTGCTCTACATTGTTCCACTCATATTGCTGCCATACATCGTACCATGTTTTGATGGACATGTAAATAGCCTTGCTAGACCGGGTGTCACTTGTGCATGGTACTGTATCATCTTTTTCGGTATCATCCGATGCGCACCCGGTTGTCAGGTTCTCGGCAAGGGCTCCTTTGGCAAAGCCTACCTCGTAAGAAACACCGAGGCCACGTCAGGGTTTGGGATTTCAAGGTGCCGTGTTTTAGGGGTATCGGGCTTGTAGTTGAGGTTTAAGGCCTGTGAGTTTGTGCTTTGCGGCATTAGGGTGCTGCATGAGGCTTACTTACCCGAAGAACTCCGCGAACACTGAGGATTTCGATTGAGCTTCCCAGAAGATGCATGAATGAACCTCCGATTCTGGCGTTCTCCCAGCCCGTTCAAGATTCTTCGTTGCCACACGGGGTCGATACAGAAGCCTACAAGCCTACATACCTAGACTACGGTTTGCCGGTGTGGTACGATGAATTACAAATCATAAGTCAGGCTGTACAGTGAAGACGGTGCATCGTTGTAAACCCTGTATTAAGTAAGTTTGAGATGTTTGACCTGGCTGGGGATTCGGCATATTGGAGTTTCAATGTCGAAAAAATATGTGTCGGTCTCCTTTTGTGTTCTGGAATAAGGCTTCTAGGAGCTGTCACGGTGTCTGTAGCTACATCCGAATCGAGCGTTGTCTGGCTCTGGTGAAACTCTGAACGAGGCGCCTCGTCGGCACGCTGTGTCGTGTTCTGCCCACCGTCAGGAAAATGAGCTTTGCGTCGTCAAGCAGATGGAGACGTCTGCTATGGAAGCCAAGGCCACGTTGCAGCTTGCAGATCACCACTTCAACGTTCATGAGGCGAAGACGACGCTTGCTACTGCAAGTGCTGTTGCTAGCTGTTAGTAGTAGTAGTAGTAGTAGNNAGTGGGAGTGGGAGTGGTAGTGGTAGGGGTAGTGGTAGTGGTAGTGGTAGTGGTAGTGGTAGTGGTAGTGGTCGTAGAGGTAGTGGTTAGTGGTAGTGTGGTAGTGGTAGTGTGGTAGTGGTAGTAGTCGTAGTGGTAGTAGTCGTAGTGGTAGTGGTAGTGGTAGTGGCAGTGGCAGTGGCAGTGGCAGTGGTAGTGGCAGTGGTAGTGGTAGTGGCAGTGGTCGTGGTGGTGGTAGTGGTAGTGCCAGTGGTAGTGGTAGTGGTCGTAGTAGTGGTAGTAGTAGTGGTAGTAGTGGTAGTCATAGTAGTAGTAGTAGTAGTAGTAGCAGCAGCAGTAGTATTAGTAGTCATGGTCTGGTAGTAGGAGTAGCAACAGTTATCGTCGTTGCCGTCCTGGTAGCAGTACTAGCAGAAGCAGAAGGCTCACTACCCTCGGGTTTTAGGGTTAACGAGGTTTTCGGAGACAACTCCGTGTTATTCCACACCCCAAAGCCCTTCCAGAAAGCCTAAAAGATGCCATGAAGGGCCTACGACACGAAGTGCACAAACCCAAGATCTTGGTCGCAGCGGTTCAGGGTCTAAGAGTTTTCTGGAGCAAGGCGCAGGATTTGGGGCTCAGGCCCTTTGATTTTACGCTCCTAATCCGACAGCCCGAAACCGGAGGTTCCTAATTCCCTGCACCCTCAACTTTCAGGTTCCCCTGAACCCTGAACCCAGATCCATATCGCAAGCCTGCAGCATTGTCGCGAACTGTCGCGACAGCTCCTCCCGGAAAGCTGCTGAATGCTTGGGTGATGAATTTGTGTCGGTTTGTCA